CCTGTCCCTTCTTCCAAAGGTTGTAAATTCTCGTTTTTGCCTGAGCTCCAGCATAAGCTCCCTGTTCTGCCAGGTCTGTCTTCTGCCCCCCTGGCTCATCTTTTTGCACATGGGGATAGCTGGATCCTGTGGCTTAAACATTTCTTTCTTGAAGAACGTCCAGCCTTCCTGGACTCCTTTATCCTTCCAGACAGCCTCCCCAAGGGACTTTGTCCACTGGGTTCCTAAACAGGTCAAAGTCTTCCCTCTGGCACTCTGAGGTAGCAGTTCTGCTGACACCCCCCACCCCTCCCCCCCTTACTCCTCTGAGAGTAAAGAACTCAATCATTTTGCAATTGCTATGCCCAAGATGGCCTCCAACCATCACATCCCCCACAAGTCCTTCTCTGTTTACATACACCAGGTTCAGCAAAGCACTTTTCCTAGCTGGCTCACTCAATAGCTGTGTGATAAAGTTATTTTCCACACAGTCCAGGAACTTGTTGGACTGTTTCCTCTCTGCTCTTCTGTATTTGCACCAGATATCTTGTACATCATAGTCCCCTATAAGATCAAGGACTAGCAATCACAAAACTTTTCACAGCTACTTATAGAATATTTCACCTGCTTCTTGTGGGAGGACTTTGGTTTTGTCTACCTCTTCTTAGAGGAATTTTTAGCATACCCATTGCTCTTTGGGATTTAAAGTATTTAATTGGAATTTATTTTTGAACAACCAGGTACAAAGCTAAAGCTATTGTTTTAAATGTTTTCTAGATAAAACTTGCTCAGTGTATTTTACCTTTAATCTTACTGAGGAGTACAGTGCCATCCCTCTGCATCAATGTACCCTAGTATAATCCACAGATTTCTGACACAGATTACATACATAAATTTTACATATTTTCATTGTGAAGAAAAATATAAACAATAGAAGCAACTCTGGATTTGTAGATTCTAGAGCTCTTTTTAATCTAGAATTGTAAGTACAATATAAAAAAAAAAATTTGACACAAAACTAGTCATAGTACGGTAGCTATTCAGGAAAGCTTCTAATTCATTAATTCATGCTAATTTGCAGAATCACAATCAAGTCAGGTGAACAATCAGCACTATAAAATTAACAGTTCAGAATTTTTAATGAGTTGCCCTAACTAGTTTTTTTCTCCTTTTACCTGCATCCCTTCTCTCTCTTTTCCTTCTCCTGGAATTACATACTTACTTGTTTGCTGTCTTTCCTGTGTTCTGAATATGTTTTAACACCTTTGTTAAAGAACGATGTAGTGCTTTGCTTATTTGCCCTGACACTCTGGAGAACTTCTTGTCATGTCCTTATTTCATCCTCAGTGTGACTCATTCCTCACTTACTTCTCAAGAGAGGGCAAGAGTAGGTGAAGGCAGAGGACAAGAAGGGCTTGGGTTTGTTTGCAGTTCTACAGCTTACGCCTGCCTCCTTCTTTCTTCTCTTCCCTTACTCCCTCCCGGCCTCCCTCCCTCCTCATCAATACTCTAAAAATCATTCCCATTCATGTTGTGTGCACGCACACGCTGGGAGAAATTACAGGCGCTCCGCTCCACGTTGCCTTGGCAACTTGGAGGCATCCTTGTGCGTGGGCACCAGTGGCACAGCAAAGTTTCCCAGGCCCCCTGGGGAAGGGGAGGGGAAGAGAGGAGGCAGAGGTGCTGGAGCCAGCAGCCGTGTGGAGGGGGGAGCAGCGAGTGCGATGAAAGGGGCACATACATCTCCTGTGGGACAATGGGAGTTTTGCTGGCTGGCTGTGAAAGGACACACTGAGGATACAATGGCCTCTGACACATGAAAGCTTTGGAGCAAACTTTATTGCTTCTCCATTAAGGACCTTTCCAGAGTCCCATTCAGTTCTAAGAAATCTTGTCAACATCTTAAAAAAAAATAAAGAAAGCAAACCGCTTAATTTTCTCATGTTTTTAAAACCAGATTTTAAATATTTTTTGAGGTAATTCTTGTTGGTATGCTGGAGGCTTTTGTAGTTTTGGCCCTGGACAGTACTGGGTGTCCCTCTTTTGAGTTCCCTGAGTTCTTTTTAACTCCAGTGGGAGATGAGGCTGCCCAGCAGCTCCCCAGTAAGGGCTCTCTGAGGTGAGAACTTGCTTCCTCCTCATCTAGCTTTTGTTCATACTTAGGCCTGTCATCCCTCTCTTTTGCATACTGGCTGCTACACATGCCACGAGTGGTTAGAGCTCAAGAAGAGAGGAATTGCTCTTCCCTACTTTCAAGCTGAGAAGTCATTTATATGAT